TGTCTCCAAGATGTTGGCTGTACTAAATGTGCCATTATGTACGTCTCATGCACTATTCTGAATAAGGCAATTGCAAAACTCCCAGCTACTCAAAGAGAGTATGTTAACACTCCAGATCTTAACATTTGGAAGAGGATCTATAGAAAGCTTCAGGCAGCAAGTGTTCTAAGTGAATCAAACAGAATGAATTGAACTGGTATAAATATTGTTTTTCTATATGCAATTGTTTCAGTTTTCTTACACGTGCAATTATTTTACATATGTTTTTCTTATATTGCGGAATTGCTGTGAGTTGCTTCATAGGAAATGATTCATACATGAATCAACAACAACAAAAATATAGTAAGGGGCAATTAAGGAGAAAACCAATGAGCAAATCTAGAAGATTTGCTCCATATTTTCAAAAAAATAATTATACCCAATTTATCAAAATAATGGTCAACTGTAATAAGATGCTAGTTAAGATGTCAGTCTTGATTATGTCATTACCAGCCCAGCATTTTATAAGGCTTATGCTCAAAACGATGAATTTGCCAGTGATTTCAGTGACAAGTTATTTCCAGTTACCGGTAGGTAGCTGTGTTGGTCTGCCATAGTCGAAACAAAATAAAAAAATTCCTTCCAGTAGCACCTTAGAGACCAACTAAGTTTGTTATTGGAAGGAATTTTTTAAAAGTTATTTCCACACTCCCTCTCCCCACCCCCAAACCATGGAGTTATGAAGAAATCTAATAGGAAGAACAAAGAAATAAATTAATCAAATTACATCTGGAATGGTTTATATTTAACTTCAGATGCACTTACTAGTTTCAAAGTTGTAATAAATGTCCACAGAAGATTAACAAGTGGGGCCTGCAACAAAATGTTGCAGTGTGGAATACAGTGAATTCCAGTACGCCATCTCATTATATTCCTTACCATCTCCCATCTTCCTCTTGGTTTTCCAGCCCCCCCCACACCAGTCAGCATTCCATGAGCACACTCATTCCTCATTGCACAGTATTTGAGGTCCCTGTTGCTCCCTTAGGGATTTTCCTAAAGAGGGAGGGAGGGAGGAAAAAATAGAGAGAGATGCAATCTGAGTTAGCTGTGTGTAGCGGATACCATTTTGGCTTCATAAGCAATGACACTTATACCTGAACATCAGAAGTGGCATGTGCAACACAATATGCTCCTTTTCAGGATTGCAGCCAACCAGCTATGCCCTTTTCTAAAACACTCCATTACATTGCACATTTCTCCCCACCAACTGGTGCCTTGATTCCCCTCCTCCATCCAACAGTCAGTCAGCACTCTGTGCCCACTGAGATACTTTGGAGGGAGGTTACCTCATGAGGGTCCCCACTCCAAAATAGTTTTTGTACTTCTGCAAAGCTTGAGGGTCTCCTAAGCCTGCTCATACTCCCCTGTTGTGAATGGATGATGCCATTTTGACTACATAAAGATCCACATGGAGAATGAGTTCACTATTAGTATATAGGATGATAGCATAAAAGTCCACAATGGATTCTTGTTTGTTATACTTGTTTGAAAGTACCGTGGCTAATTAGCTGTGTCTGACTGAAATCTCACAGAATGCTGACCTGTGTTAAATATGAATGTAGAAAATCCCATTCATCCTTGGTTAATAAATGTCCTCTTTTTTATGTCTAAGTACGGCATGCTGTCATAAAGAAAAATCTAGCCTTCAAACATCAACCCTGATTATTTTCTTACATCACTTTGCTTTTTGAGAAGTCAAAAGATGTCTCAAGAGTAATTAGAAATTGTCCCGGAATTAAGCTTCAGGGCTCTGAAGATGTTATATTTCTTTTGTGGAGTGAAAATATCTCAGTTTGAAATTTCATCCAGTTGTGAGTTCAAACATTATTCCCTTCTGTCAGGTATTTGATGCTGGACTGCTCATCACAGTTCAAATTAATTAGGTTAGGTCAAGGCTGAGCCATCATTAATTGGATTTGGTTCTATCTCTATTTTCAATAAGTTATTTTGTACAATTGTAATACTTGTGGTTTCAAAAACAGTAATTTAGAAGTATGTTTTCTTCATATGGGAATCTCAGCGGATTTATAAAGGTTTAATGCATGTGTTAGGAGAATCAGCTAGATGTTTAGTGTTTTCCCAGGGTCTTACTAATAGTCTCCAGGGAAAACGCAGGGAAAGAGACAGGATACCTATGGTGAACAGTCAACAAGGCTAATGGTCTCTCTTCAGCAAGAAAGCAGATTTTGGCTAAACACTAGGAGACACCTAATGGTCAGAGCTTTTTGACAGTGGCCGCGGGAAGTAGTGGGCTCCTCTACCGGGCTCCTCTACTCGGGAAGTAGTGGGCTTCACTGGAGGTATTTAAGCAGAGGGACAGTGAAGTTGCATTCTGAATGGCAGGTACTGCATTGAACAGGGGGCTTGAAGATCCCTTTCATCTCTAAAATTCTGATATTCTATCTCTTCATGATCACCTTGCCTGTGTCCATGTTATCTCCTAATACTTTTTCAGTCATGCCAAGGTCACCACTGCCATGGTGGCAGCTCGTTTGCACTCAGAAGGTCAGTGTGACGGACTCTTTGGCTAGCTTTCCCTGCAGACAGTACCTCAAACTGCATTGCAATTTACCATGCTATTACCATCTCCGGAGCAGGTGCAGATTGTTGTGCTTTTACATGCATTTTCCACCTGATCCATCCCCCGCCCCCGCCCCTCGCATCATTAAGTGTGAATAATATTCACTTGTATTGTACTTCACAGCCAGCCGTTCGTTGTGTAATAAATCGTCTGGGATGAATGCCTTCCTTGTCATAGTAAATGGAGTGAAAAGGAACACAATAGTTTCTCTCTCAACAGTCATTTCTTTTTGATTGCTAAGCTTAGGTCATCTCTGTAAAGATTTCCTGATGACAAAACATTCTTTCCTTCCAACATTAGCGAAACAGATGAATGAACCTCCACTGTTTTCTCCTGTGAATCTGAAGGTGTCTCTTCCATGTCTACAACAGCCACAGTTCTTCCTAAGCATGTGAGGAGACAATTTCCATCCCCAACTACACAAGAAGTGTATGCCTGGTTGTATAACACATCAACAGTAACAAAGCAGTGGGAAGGACCTTTTCAGTGGTGTGCGATCGCTAATGTGTTACACAACCAAACATTCCTGCAATAGGCAAAGGACAGAGTTGGGGGTCCTGCTGTTTGCTTGTGGGTTTCCCATAGGCATTGGGTTGGGCACTGTGAGAAGAAGATGCTGGACTAGATGACCAGGCCTGATCCAGCAGGCGCTTCCTAAGTTCTTACATTGGACCACAACTCCCACTATTCCTGACCATTTGCCAAGCTGCCTGAGGCTGATGTATGACTTCCTATAAGAAGAGCCCTGTTGGATCAGACCAATGGCCCATCTAGTCCAGCAGTGGCCAACCAGAAGGCCAGAAGCAGGACAAAAACAACTGGAGAACCTCAGGTTCCCCATCACTGGCAGAGAGCAAAATGTCAGTATCGTAATGCACCTGTGTCAATGGTCTCAATGGTTTCAAGCAAAAATGAGTCAGACCAGAAGAGAGCACTTCAGATAGGGTTACCATATGTCCTCTTTTTCCAGGACATGTCCTCTTTTTCAGGCGTAAAGTTGTCATCTTGAAAGTTGTATAATTTCAGAGAATATCCATGTGAACAGCATGCCTGCAATATTCCTCCAGAACTCGGTCAATTAAAGAGATTACATGAAATACAATGACAAGTTATGTCAGTGAAGAATACAAGAAACCTACAAGACCAGTTGTAATGAACATCCCAGTTTAGAACTGCTGAGCAAGTTGTGTGTGGTGTGCAGAGAAATGCAGTCTGCAAGGCCTTTTTATTAAGACAACTACATGTTCAATAACCAAGTTTGACTAGAAAATCTTTCTGGGGACTGTTAGATCTTAATTTGGGGGACTTTATATTTTAAGTATGCAGTTATTTATAAATATTATCTGCCCTGGACCCTCAGCAACAGAGGAGTTTTTTTAAAAAAAACCCGCACAAACAAACAAACAAACAAACAAACCATAAAGATAAGTCAATTGCCAAATACGCACATGCTTTGCAATTTCGACACCTGAAAAGACCTCTCTCATCCTGTCAGTGCAAGGATTTTTGCTTGCACAACAGCAGTCCCCACCTCTAATGATAGACATGGAAGTCAATCTTCAGTGGGACTGCAGTGCTCATAGATAGGGTTTTATCAGTGTTCTATCAGAAGTAATCCTGATGAGAATCCCTACACACCTCCCCAAAGGGTGCCAAAGGGATCCCCCACCCACCCCACCCTAAGGCTAATAGAAGTGTGGGAAGAGGAATCCTGTTTTATCACATTTGTTTCCCTTGTCTGCTGGCTTGATGCCATTTTATTCCAGCTTCTTTCTCCAATCAGGGTTTATGAAATGAACCCAACGACATTGCACAGCCAAATGTCACTGATGGCAAACAATGCCCATTCCGCGTGAAGGCAATGGTTCTTGGATTAAATTGGTCAATACCAGCCAATTAGAAAACAATTAGACTGTGTGATGACACTGCAGCATAAAACAGCCAATCAAATTACTTACATCACTGAGGGCAGTGATTATTCAGAGGGATAATGAGACTTTATTTACTAGATTTCTAAAGGGACCCACCCATGTCTTCTTGGATTCAATTCCTAGGAAGGGAGGAACTGTTTAAACATGCTTTAGAGGACATGATAAGTACTTCATAAGTACTTGTAGCTCCCAAAGCTATAAGTGCTTCTCAAATGAAGGGTATGGACACACTTTTATTACCATATGATTTCCATATGAAAAAAACAACAACATACTGGTGAGAATAAAGCTCATTTTAAGTGATGGGCTGGAAGGAACAACCTGAAGAAATACATTACAGGGAGTGGGAAGGGGAAAATAGGATGGTTAACTAAGAACAAGCACAACAGTTTAACAATGGCACCGGCAAGCTGGTGCTTGTTCAAGAGGCTGCATCCTATGGGAAAGGGCCATAGCTCAGGGGCAAAGAATCTGCTTTGCAAGCAGAAAGTACCAGGTTCAATACCTGGCATCTCCAGGTAGGGCCAGGAAACATTCCATCTCTGAAACCCTGGAGAACCACTGCTGGTCATTGCTGGTAATAGTGCTGAACTAGATGGTCCAGCTTAGTATAAGGCAGCTTTCTGAGTTCCTATGAAAATAGGATGAAGGTGCTGGATATTAGGGCTGTACAACCAATCCAACTAAATCCTGGCTCTCTAACTGAATTGGGGCTCTTCTGGATTGGGTCAAGGCAGCCCTGAACTGGGTCAGGTCCCCCCAGAGTGATCTGGAGCTATTAAAATGAGGAACAGGGCATACCATGATGTCAAGGAGAGAGAGAGAGTTGCCTGCATAATCCCTTTCTCCCCACTGCCCTTGCCCCTTTATCTCATACTTTAAAAGATGCTGATTTTAATTTATTACCTCCTCCTTCACCCTTAGGCCCCTGGTAGGTCACTTCATATAAGAATAGAACACTAAAAGCTGTTGAAAAGAAATTATAATTAGAGGAATAGGGTGGATCCTGAAAACGTATAAGAAGTTCTTTGTTCTGGGATGTAGGATCTGAACTAACAGGTTCAAATTACAAGAAAGTGGATTTCAACTCAACATCAGTAAGAGCTTGCGGTCAGTATCAGGTGTTTGAACAGACTGCTTTGGAAGGAGGCAAGTTCTCCTTCATTAGAGCTTTGCAAGCAAAGGCTCGAGAGCCACTTATCAAGGATCCTGTAGCAGTGGGTTTTATGCATCAGCAGCGGATTGGGCTAGATGCCCTTTAAAATCACTTACAGCCCTAAGATTATATGAATAAAGCATTTGTTGTTATCATACAACAGTGTCCAGTATGGCTTCATTATTTTAATGTAAAAGCAATTCGTAATAATTTAGAAATCTCTAAGTGGCATGCAATCCAAAAAACAAAACAAAAAACATACATACATAGAACAACACTGTTGTTATTGACTAACTTGTACAGTGGTACCTTGGTTCTCGAATGGCTTAGTTGTCAAACAAATCGGCTCCTGAATGCTTCAAACCCGGAAGTAAGTGTTCCGCTTTGAGAATGTTTTTTGGAAGCCAAACGTCCAGCGTGGCTTCTGCTTCAGTGCAGCAAGCTCCTGCAGCCAACTGGAAGCCACACATTGGTTTTTGAACGGTTTTGGGAGTGGAACGGACTCCAGGAATGGATTAAGTTTGAAAACCAAGGTACCACTGTACTTCAAGTAGACCCACTAAAATTAATGGCCACTTATTTCAATGGTCTCCTCTGAGTAAAAATTAGTTGAATGGAACCCAATATATGCTGAATATCTATATTTCATTATGGTTGTTGTTGTTTAGTCGTTTAGTCGTGTCTGACTCTTCGTGACCCCATGGACCAGAGCACGCCAGGCACTCCTGTCTTCCACTGCCTCCCGCAGTTTGGTCAAACTCATGCTGGTAGCTTCAAGAACACTATCCAACCATCTCGTCCTCTGTCGTCCCCTTCTCCTTGTGCCCTCAATGTTTCCCAGCAACAGGGTCTTTTCCAGGGAGTCTTCTCTTCTCACGAGGTGGCCAAAGTATTGGAGCCTCAGTTTCACGATCTGTCCTTCCAGTGAGCACTCAGGGCTGATTTCCTTCAGAATGGAGAGGTTTGATCTTCTTGCAGTCCACGGGACTCTCACGCTGTGCTTGTCTTCTGACAGTTCTCTCCAACACCATAATTCAAAAGCATCAATTCTTCGGTGATCAGCCTTCTTTATGGTCCAGCTCTCACTTCCATACATCACTATTCATTATGGTAGTGATCCATTAATCCATTTCTTGACACATTTGTGAAAAAGTGAGTATGCACCCCTCACCCCTTGGAAACTACCCAGTCAAATGTAGCTTGTAATCTGTAAGGAGTTTGACCTGGGCAAAGAAATAGAGCAGAATGGCTTGGCTCACGCTGTGCCCCACACGCTGCTGCTACCTGTCAGTTTGCCTCATAGACTTTGGTCAAGAAATATATCTGTTTGCATGCTTCATTGGAAGGCAATAAATCACATATAAAATAGCAAAACATCACATCACATTTGGAACAATATAAATAGCAAAAATACAGAAGTGTATAAAACTGAATAATCAGCCTGAGAAAACAAATCAGCACGGATGTCCGCTGTGCTTGTCTTCTGACAGTTCTCTTTCTGATGCATCTGACTCTTGCCACAACAAACACAGAACTCTGTGGGTGACATACTTACTTGAGTCTCCCACTAGATAACAAATTTTGTTCAGGTCATTCCCAAGGCCAGTGGAATCTGAAAAGTGAGCCAATTTGTTATTTACTTCCTTTTTGTTGAATGCCTAAATATCCCACTGCTACAGATAACTGAGGCTGTTACATTTTAGAAGGGGAAAAGGAGGCATTTATCCTATAACATGCAGTGCTGCTAAAGAACAAAAATCACTTCCTTTGTCTTCACTTCCTTTGTTCAAAGTAGATGAGATATTTGGATCGGGTACTGCAATGCATCTGCCTCGAGCAACTGGGGGACTATACTGTTCTCCTGCACAAAGTGGCCATTTGTCCTTGTTTTATTTCCTAAACTAAGTGCAAGAATGACACCTCCCCTCTGATGGTACCATACAATGAAGCTCAAGTGGCTGAGTGGCAAATTTAGAAGAGGCAAAATTAGAGCTGTATTGGGGACAGGAATATGCTTTCTATAAATAAAGGGTGCAGGATGCACCTTCCTCTGAAAAGATCATCACTATGCTGTGTTTCGAAAACGAGAGGTGACAGGGTGTTAGCCTGTTGAAAAGTCATTGCCTTTGCCCCAGAAACCGTCGCTCCTAATATTTGTGTGGGCTGGTTTTGGTTAGTCAATGAGGAAGGTAAACAATAAGATGCATGTGCCTGGAACACTATTTTTCAGCCATACGTTCCAGGCTTCAGGCCTGTGACTGATGATTGGTTTCAAGAATCCGCCCTGGTGAATGCCGATTCAAATTCAGCCCTGGTTCATTGCCAGGGCTAAATGGCCTAGTCCCAGGATGACTTAGGGTAGGGACAGACAAACCTGTCATTTCTCATTTGTTTTCAGTCGTACGTTCAGCTTCCCCCTTTTCACATCCGTTTTTAAAATATTCATTGCATTTCACCTCATATACTCATTTCGTACACAATTTTGCTGAAAATACAAATTTGTGAGCAGTTTCCCTCAAAAAATACAATGCAATGCAATGCATTTTTGTTCTTATTCTTTTCACCAAAATATAATTTTTGATGCATAATTTGATGCACGGAATTTGAAAAAACACAAATTTTGAAGGACCTCTCTGCGTTGGGGTTGGCAATGGTTCAGGAAGTGCAGATTTGGTAAGTTCAGGGTCGATGTTACCATTAGACCAATTAGTCAGCAGATGGGTGCAGAACTGATCTTCGAGGGGCACGGTTTTATACAGATTAGTTTTTGATCTATTTTATAATTTTCTGGTAATATTTTACTATTATTTTCTATTTTGATAGCGTTGCCATTATTTCACAAAGTGAAAATCCAGTCACAAAAGTTGTTGTCAGGGAACTGCCATCGGACGGAAGGGAGGTGAAAGGGCTCACACAGGTTGGGAGAGACGCAGCAGCTGAAGAGGGAACCAGCAGGGAGGTGAAAGGGCTCACACAGGTTGGGAGAGACGCAGCAGCTGAAGAGGGAACCAGCAGGGAGGTGAAAGGGCTCACACAGGTTGGGAGAGACGCAGCAGCTGAAGAGGGAACCAGCAGGGGAGAGGAGCTGAGCTGGAGGGATGGCTCAGAGACACTTCCAGCGAAAACAGTGGGGAGGTTTCAGGACCTCCTGTAAGAACACCCACTCCTCGCCGGAAACTGTCACGCAGAGATTCCAGAAGACGTGTTTCCGTTAAGGAGCTTTATGTTGGAAGCGATTACGAAAGCAACCACTGTCGGAATCTGCTAGTGACTAGAGGAGCCATGTCTGAGGGCTCCGTCACAGACAGAGGTTTGTGGACTTGAACAAACTCTGAGGGGATACGCTTTACGCACAAGCAGCTCATCATCCCATCACAGCATTCCGACAGTCTTTGAAAGCAGCTTGTGCAGGAGAAGGCATCATGAGCAACCCAGCCGGAACCGGAGAAGCAGGAGCTGGAGTGGGTCCAAGCCTGGAAGAAAGGTACCGGGTGTTGGAGGTCCAGCTAGCGATGCAGACGGCGAGGCTTGAGGAGAGGAGGGCTCAGGATGCAGACAAAAGGGAAAGCCACCCAGCTCGCCAGAAAGGTACCAGGATTGGTGCAGAAGTTTGGGGGAGCCCAAAACTATCATGGCTTTCGGACAGAAATGCAATATGCCCTCAATCTGCAGTTTGATGAATTCCCTGACGAGGAATCACGAGTGGCTTTCGTGATTGAGCATCTTGAAAAGGGGCGAGAGACTGGGTTAGACCCCTGATGGCAGCGAATAGTGACGTCCTAAAGGACACAATGAAGTTCTTTCGCGCCATGGATCTGATGTTTTCCAGCGATATTGAAAAGGGAGTGGTGCGCAGACAGTTAATGGGTTGCAAACAGGGGAGCCGATCTGTCCGTGAGTACTGGACTGAGTTCACCATGCTTGTTCACAGATTGGGGTGGGACTTATCGGCGGAACCCATTCAAATGCTCTTTGAAGAAGGGCTTTCTTCGGCTGTGAAAGACGAACTTTCCCGGGCGCCCAGGGCGGAGTCTATGGACCAGCTGACCAAATCAGCGCTGGCCATAGGAGCGCGCCAGGAGGCGAGAGCATTGGAGAGGCGGGAAGGGAAAGGGGAACGTTGGAAGGAGTTCCGCATTCCAGACATTCCAGAGCCAACTTTCCCACCGGCAGAGCCGATGGAAATCGGAACAGCGCGCGCGCGCAGTTTCAAAGCCCAGTGAGGGGGCAAAGAAGGAGGGAAAAGGCGCCCGGAAATGCTATCTCTGCCAACAGCCAGGTCACTTTGCCAGAGTCTGCCCCCAGAGGAAGGAATGGCAAGGGATGGTAGGAGCTGTGTATGGAAGAGAGGAAGAAATACC